GTCGCCTGACCCCGGGCTCGCGAGTCACCCGGGGCCCGGGGTCAGCTCAGGCAAGGATGTATCCAGGACCTTTCGATGGGAGGAGGGAGGCACGGTGGGTCCAGTCTCACTGGCAGACGGGTCTCTTTAAAACAGTCTTTGCATGAGAAAATGTGGAAAATTGGCAAGTAAAAGTATCATTTATGCCCGAGGAGTGTGCCTAATGTACTACACTAATGCCTAATGTACATGATATTTTATGAGCGAGCGAAGCGAGCGAGCTCCTCAGAGTCACCGGTGTGTGGCGCGCTCGGAGGTGTCAGTGAAAGGCCATCAGATGCGCTGGTGTTGAGTCCTCACAGGCGCCGTTGCGGGGTCTTAGGGCTTAGAGACACTGGTGGGGCCATCATTGGCATGTGTGTGGCCCTGCAAAATGGCCTGCAAGTAAGTGGAAAGTGGCCCTTCATAGGCTGGCAAGAACACTAAGAGGCTAGTAAGAGGCCCTCAGAGTCACTGGTACGCGGCCCTCAGAGGCGCCGGTGTGGGGACTCTCAGAACCGCCGATGTAGGCCCTTAAGATGCGCTGGTGGAGGTGGCGCGAGGGGCCTCGCAGTTGCCGTTGTGGGTGCCTTTAGAAACACTGGTGTGGGCCGTGTGTCTATCACAGACGGATGTGGAGCCATAGCAGCCAATCCCTCGTTGGCCGTTACTAGGGCCCTGAGCGGCCGACGAGGTCTCTCAGAAACCGGCAATGGGCCTTTATGAAGATCATTGTGGCTACATAGGAGCCAATAACGTGCCCCCACAAGCCCTGTGGTGTCCTTCCGAGTTGAAGTGCGGCCAGCGCGAACCCTCTGCTACCAACTGGCGCCACAGGGCCCCTCGGTTTCGAAGAAACCCTAAACCCGAGAACGGGCACGTACCCCCTCGCTCCCTTGCTATGTCACTGAATCCAAGTGATCAGGGGCCCTTTAGGTAATCAGGGGCGTTTCAGATGACCAGGGGTTTTCAATTGATCAGGGGCCCACCAGGTGACCATGGGCCCCTCTGGTAACCAGGCCTTAAGGGACCCTCAGATGACCTCAAAGGGCTCTCAGATGGCCTTAAAGGGCCCTCAGATGGCCTCAAGTAACCAGGGACCCCATCAATAACCAGGGCCCCTCAGTAAACGGGGGCCACTCAGGTAACTGTAGGAGTTCCGCAGATAACCAGGGGCGGCAAGGTTTCTCAGGTCCGCTTTTGACAAGGCTCTTATTGACTCAGGTGCGAGCCCTTTGCCATCAGCAGAGAGCCCTATCAAGCCTTTTGAGGGCCGTTTAACGTCTCTTGAGTTCCCATTGAGGCCTTCTAAGGGCCCTTTGAGCAGTCGAGGGGTCTTTGAGGCCTTTTGAGGGCCTCTTGACGTCAGCTGAGGACCGTTGGACGCCAGCTGAGGACCGTTTTTGGGCCTTCTGATGGCCATTAGACGCCAATGGATGACCCTCTGACACCAACTGGGGCCCTCTGACACCAGCTAAGGGCCCTTTAAGTTTGACGCTAGCTCAGGGCCCTCTGACATCAGCTGGGGGCCCTCTGACGCTATCTCAAGGCCCTTTGACGCTCTTTAAGGCCTTCTGAGGGCCCCTTGAGGCTTTCTGAGGGCCCCTTAAGGCTTTTTGAGGGCCGCTTGACGCCAACTGAGGACTGCTGGACTCCAGCTGAGGACCGTTTGAGGCCTTCTGATGGCCATTTGGCGCCAGCTGAGGGCCATCTGGCACCAGCTGGCGTTTGACGTTAGCTGTGGGCCCTTTGAGGCCATCTGAGGCCCTTTGAGGTCATCTGAGGGCCCCTTAAGGCCATCTGGGGCCCTTCGAAGCCATCTGAGGGCCCTTTGACACCATCTAAGGGCCCGGCTTTGACACCAGATGAGGGCCCTATGACGCTAACTGAGGGCCCTTCGAGGCCATTTGAGGGCCTTTTGAGACAATCTGAGGGCCCTTTAAGACCATCTGAGAGCCCTTTGAGGTCATTGAGGGCCCCTTAAAGCCATCTGGGGCCCTTCGAAGCCATCTGAGGGCCCTTTGATACCATCTAAGGGCCCTTTGACACCAGATGAGGGCCCTATGACGCTAACTGAGGGCCCTTTGAGGTCATCTGAGGGCCCTTCGAAGCCATCTGAGGGCCCTTTAAGGCCATTTGAGGGCCCTTTGTACACGGTCTTCAGTGGTCTAAGGATTAGTTAGAGGCCCATTTGAGGCGGCCGAAGGCCGCCTCAAATGGGCCCCTATTCCTTCGAGCTGGCCCCCCCAACTCGAATGGGTGGCACGGGCCCGTGTGCCCCCCTTGTGTGCGCCCCCTAGGTTTGGCTCCGTGACCTGGTATGCCCCCCCCGCGCTGAAACCCTGGATCCGCCAGTGCGTGAAGTAATGCATTAAAGAACCATGCAAAGTTAGCCCTTTTACTAGTTTTACTGGCAAGGGCGATAATGTTTCCTTGAATGTCCTTATTGGTCAGTACGAGAATTCCTCTAGAATTCTCGTAGAGAGTTTCTCTAGTTTCTGAAGAATTTTCAGGCCCATGCTCTTTTCATACTGGATGCAAATATACGCAAGACACGAATTCCTGCTTAACACACTGTTTTTGGATCGGGAAATTTAATATCTTCGCTTAGAGTGATCGTTGGGCCATAAAAGCTTCTGATTTGTGCTAGTCTCAGCTCAAACTACAAAACTGCTAAGTGCTATTCCAGTTCAAAACCCCATGTTAAAAGTGATCTATTTCCTTTAACGGTGCAAAATACCACCCCAAAGAGGTGCATTTTTGGAATCAGCGCATCGAGGAGGTCCTGTAAACTGATTTTCAGCCAGATCGAAAGACTCCGCCGTTTCCCGTTAAAGTGTTAATTGGTCGTTTACTCGTTAACCCTCGCGGGCCCGGGGGGGGGGGGGCGTTTTTCGCCCCCCCTGGCGAATATTTGCGATAGCTCCCAAACGCTTAGGGATAGGAAAACGAAACTTTCAGTACCTTTTCTCCCATCAATTTGACATCTTCTGAAGTAAAAAATTTGGACCTAGCCCCCTTGATGACGTCACAAGGTCCATTTTTCTAGACCCCTGCACGGCAAACTTCGGCGTCACAGACGCAAACTTCAAATAGCTGCTAAAAATAGAGTTTTAGAGATAAAGACAAATTACGAGCACGGTTATGTAGCGTTTGACCTAGAGAAAAATAGAAAAATAGTTTTGGTGACCTGAGGTCAGAGGTCAGGTCAACGACCCCGAAATGTGGTTTTAGTTTTTCGCAAATAACTTCGACAAAAATGGTCCTAGAGCTACGGCAGTGGTACCATCGCATTCGCCTTGTCAAGCCGCGTCGAATGATATATATTTTGTTCGGAAAAGGTCAAGTTTTATGTTGACCTCATGTGACCTCGAATGACCTCTGGTTGACCTTGACATATGAAAGGTCGTTTATGATGGATTTGTACCCGCTGATCACGAATCTGGCGTTTATTTTCCTCTAAGCCTTTATTTAGAGCTTCCGGATGGCAAAATTGTCTTATTTATTATTACTAGCTTGAATTAGTGAAATAGCCTCTAGCAGGGATACTCTTCAGTGACCTTGACCTTTAAGCAGCCAGCAGCCTTGTATCGTAAGAGGAACCACAAATAGGGAACTGATAAGCCTCAAAACATTTCAAAACATCTTGAAAGTTAGCACGCAAGATGTGCGAAAAGTGCCAAGTTTGAGGTCCATTTTGAGCGTGACCTTGACCTTGACCTTTGATTTTGAGCACATTTTCGGAATCTTCAGATTCTCTTCTTTCGTTTGACACCCAATTTTGCCGGTTTGATGCCGCCCGCCGTCCTCTAGAAGGCTTACTTTGAGATCACTACACATGTGCCGGTTTTTGCCTTTGACCTTGACCTCTGACCTTGAAAATTGACCTGAGGTCAAAAATTTTAGGTGCTTTAGAATCGTCTCGTAAGGACCTTTCGTTTGATATCGCTTTTGTTTCCGTAGCTCCCTTATTTACGGAGTTAGACAGGGGGGGCGAAAAACGCCCCCCCCCCGGGCTGCGGTGGTTGGGATTACCCCCCGGGCCCGGCCGGGTTAACGGTGCAAAATACCACCCAAAAGAGGCACATTTTCGGAATCAGCGCATCGAGCAGGCCCTGTACACCGATTTTCAGCTAAATCGAAAGACACCGCCGTTTTCCGTTAAAATGTTATTTAGCCGTTAACTCGTTAACGGTGCAAAATACCACCCCAAAGACGTACATTTTCGGAATCAGGGCATCGAGGAGGCCCTGTATACCGATTTTCAGCCAAATCGAAAGACCCCGCCGTTTCCCGTTAAAATGTTAATTGGTCGTTAACAACGATGCAAAATACCAACTCAACGGTGCAAAATATCACCCCAAAGAAGCACATTCTCGAAATCAGTGCATCGATGAGGCCTTGTATACCGATTTTCAGCCAAATCGGAAGACCCCGCCATTTCTCGTTAAAATGTTAATTAGCCGTTAACTCGTTAACGGTGCAAAATACCAACCCAAAGAGGTACATTTTCGGAATCAGCGCATCGAGGAGGCCCTGTATACTGATTTTCAGCCAAATCGAAAGACCCCGCCGTTTCCCGTTAAAATGTTAATTGCTCGTTAACTCGTTAACGGTGCAAAATACCACCCCAAAAGAGGTACATTTTCGGAATCAGCGCATCGAGCAGGCTCAGGTCACGGTTCTCAGCGGGCGGTAGGGTCAAATGACGTCACCGAGGGTGCACTTGGATCCTGGCTCGTAGTGTCATAAAGTGATGTTTCTATACATAAAAAGTCATTTCAAATCAAAGAACAGCAGTCAATCTTTCATTTTTGTTCACTCATATTGGCTTTTGAATGCTTTTTGAGAGAAGAAATGCTTTTAAGTAGTTGCAGTGAAGTAGTGGTCACTGTCAAAGTGTTGCTGTGTTTTAGAGGACATTTTAACAGAATTGACGGCTCTGGCGCAGATGTTTCAAACAAAAAGTCATTCATTATAGAGTTTATTATAGAGTTCAGTGCAAAAAGTATTGAAAAAAAAAAACACTGAAAAACCCACTGAACTCTATAATGGAAGAAAACAGTGAAACACAGTGATAAATCCCGTTGATATTATTTGTGAGTATATGTGGTTGTTACACTGGGTGGGTTGTTTTGTTTTATTGGTGATATGATAATTTACCTTATAATAGATATCTGATATTACTTGCAGCAGCTAGGGAACATTTTCGATATCTTTGGTGCACAAAATCGCCCCAGGCGCCCTGTTTTCACCGTCGTCCCATTATGGACGCCGGTGAAAAAAGGGCGCCGGAGGGCATATTAGTCACGTGACATTTGGAACTTCTCCCCCTTTGTGGGCCTTCCTCATGCTAAACGTCACGTGTGAATTTCACGAACCTTTATCAAATCGCCCCAGGCGCCCTGTTTTCACCGTCGTCCAACATTATTGCCTGGTTGACTGTTTATTTAAGGGGTCATTCCACGTCGCCTGATTCCATTGGGGGCGCCTGATTCCTGAGCCTTCGAGGAACGTGGAGCTGGCTGTGGACTGACTGCATGGAATACTTGGTTGGAAGTACCTCCAGCCTGCTTATCCAGTAAGGCAGTCACTGCACTTCACTAACCCTATCTGACTTGGCTGCATACTGCTTCCCACGTCCAGTCCAACCTTCACCTGCGCTTTACATGTGGCATGGCTTTTGTCCACTGGCTCGCACATGTTTGCTAGACTAGGACAAACACTGACTGGGTGGCGGGTGCATCACTAGTGCATGTTGTGCCAGGATTAACTCTACTTGTGTTTGTTGTTTTTCTGTGTTACTTGCATTTACACCACTCATTGTTTCCTTTTCGATAGGTACCTGCCTAGACAAACACTTGTCTGGCCACTGAACACTTGTCAGACCTATTGCGCCTGTAGTCTTGACCATGCCACCTAAAAACAAATCCAGGGGTCGTGGTAGACCGAGCAGTCAGTCTGATCGGACTAACCAGGCAGCTGCGTCTGCGGGTCAGCTCAGCAGCTTTGCGGAACTTTTAACCCTATTAGTGGCAGGGGGGTTGTTTTTATCCACCCCTCAGGTTTTTCGGGAATATCTCCGAAACCGCTGAAGCTACGATGCTGAAATTTTCTGACTTTTCCTAAAACTAAATTGGGCACATTCCCTGAAAATTTCAAGTTCATAACTTTACCAGGGGTGGCTCCAGAGCACTGGGAATTGGGGGGTCCTATTCGTGAAGCGAGTCATTTGGGGAAGATCACGATACTGCACCAGTTTTACGAACAGTGAATGAAAGGTATCATGTGATAACATATACAAAGTTATTGTGCATCCTCTTTTGACACGTTTTTGCTATAATAGGCGGATCCAGGCGTCCAAAAAGGGGGGTTATTTTTTACCTCCCAACATAGGTGCCCTGACACCGCCTATGCATGACCAATACAATTTTAGTCGTTCTCTCATAAGAAAATTGTAACATAACAAGACCATTGCCACCCTTTTTAGAAACAGTACCAACAAAAACCTTATTTACTATACTTTTTGTGTACCCCCAATCTCAATGATCTGTATCCGCCTATGATTTTTTGAAAATGCATATTTTTAGGATCCATGTGAATTCCTGGTTCATTCTCTATCGATCGGCAAAAGTTGTGTTAAGATTGGTTCAGAAACCTGGCCGTGATAAACAGTCTAAAATGTATCTGCAATTTGCCCGTTTTTACCCCCTCTACCCCCCTATTAACATTTTTTAATTTTTTTTTTTTTAGAAATGTAGATCTCGTTGAGCCAAATCGAATGCCGTTTGAATTTTGAAAATCGGCCGGTTAGATCTCGAGATATCAAGGGGGGGTCGTAAACAGCCCCCCTGCCACTAATATGGGGTAGCCAGGAGCCTGCCACTAATAGGGTTAACACTGATGTGGGAGAGGTGGCTATTGGCTGTGATGACTGTGAAATATGGGTGCATGGGTCAGAGATGTGTTCTGGTCTTCCACAGAATGTTCTTGATGCTATTCTTAAGTACCTATGATGGTGGCGGCATTAAGTTCAGCTGCATGAGATGCCGTCTGAAAGTAACTCATGACAAGGAACATTCCTCATTTGACAATGACCTAAGAGAAACACTCCAACAGCTCTTTCAGCAGTTTCGTGGCATGTGTGCAGTTCTGACAGACCTTTCATCCCAGGTCAAATCTCTTGCCATGCAAAAACAAGCTTGTCCTCTGCCTCCGGATCCAACCAGGTCGGTCGTTCCACCATTTCCCCACCCTTCCTCCCCAAATGCCTTCTCAGGACCGCTCATTGATTCGTGAAGAACTCAGAGAGATGAGAGAGAGGGAAAAAAGACGCCATACGATCATTATCAAGGGAATAGATGCTAGAGACCCAAGGGAAGCTTGCTCCAAATTTGATGAACTGACCGAGACCCACTCACCTGGTTCACTCACCTGGTTGGGTTCCCATTTTCTGAGTCCAAAACATGGTTAGGATATCGAAAAGGATATATAGGAACCCTGATCACAAGACGCGCCAGCCCAGATTGAAGCACAGCTCACATGATAACAACAATGCATAATATGGTATGGCTGGAATTTGGCGTCTTCAATGAGCACAAACATATTATGATATTATCGACAGCGCAACACATTTATCATTGGTAGCTCCGCAACGAGCGTATGTCTAGACAAACGAACTCATTGACTGACGGTTGTACAGTTACTGTACAACCGTCAGTCAATGAATTCGTATAGAGCCTCGCCCAGCGCCTTCTCTAGTAACTTTTTGAAGCCAGCTAAGTTGGGTGCGGTCACAACATGCTGTGGCAAGGCATTCCACGCAGCTATGCATCTCACATTGAAGAAGCGTCTCCTTACATCGGTGTGAGACGTCGGAATGAAAATCTTATAGCAATGACCTCGCGTGCTGCGGTGTGTAGGACGTTTAAACAGGTCAGGGACATCTAGGTGACTCTTGCCATTAAACAACTTCCAGCACTGAATAAGATCTGCCCTCAGCAGTCTGCCCTTGACTGAGAAAAGCTGCAAGGCACGTAGTCTACCGGCATAGTCAAGTGTCTCAACCGAGGAGAATTGTTTCGTCCAACGCCTCTGGACAGACTCTAAAAGGCGCAAGTCCCCCAGATACCCCGTGTTCCACACACATGAGCAGTACTCTATAATCGGTCTGATGTGAACAGTGAGCAGGTACAGCATGAACTCAGGTTCCCTACACACTGTGCTCTTGAGGAAGTTCTGGGCAAGCCTCCCTGCTTTGTGTACCACTGAGCGAATGTGTCTGTGAAACTTAAGGTCAGTATCAACGATTACACCCAAATCTGTGTGTGAACTTACTGCTGGGATTACGCAACCATTCAAGTGATACTGGACAGGAGATGTACCGCCTAGTGAACGAGAGAACCTCAATACAGCACACTTCTTAGCATTCATTCTTAGGCCCCAGGATGTGGAAGCATTGAACAGATTATCGATATCTGATTGGATGTCAGGGACAGCAGGGAGCTGGTCATGTTGTTGGACACATGCATATAACTTTAAGTCATCAGTAAATATCTTGTAGTTGCATCTTAAATTAGTAGCAATGGAGTTGATATAAATAAGGAAAAGCAGCGGCCCCAGCACGGATCCCTGAGGAACACCACTAGTGACATCTCTTTCACGGCTCATTGACCCAATGACAGACACTCTCATTTTACGGTCAGACAAGAATGACGAGATCCATTCGAGAATACGACCTCGGACGCCAATGCAATGCAGTTTAGCAAGAAGAATATCATGGCACACCATGTCAAACGCTTTACTGTAATCGAATAGGATGACATCGACAACACGTCCATCGTCCACACATTTTGACACCTCACTATACACTAGCAACAACTGGTCCATGGTAGATCGACCAGCTCTGAAACCAAACTGGTTGGGGTTAAGCAGAGACTCGCTCTCCAAGAAACTGGTTAAGCATCCAGTGATGAGGCGCTCCATGGTTTTGCAGCATACAGAAGTTAAACTAACAGGTCTGTAATTAAGGGGGTCATTTCTACTGCCTTTTTTAAACAATGGAATAACAGTAGACACCTTCCACAGGTACGGAACTACACCTTCATATAAGCAGCGCTGAAAAATGACACTGACAGGGTACGCGAGCTCTGGTGCACAGGACTTGAGAAGAAATGGATGAATATAGTCTGGGCCCATGGCAGAGTTGCCATCAAGTTCCTGTAATGCAGATCTGACACTGTCAGTAGTGAAATGCACATCACAAACCTGCTCGGTAGGTGTTGGTCTGGGACAGGGTTGACTGGAGAGACACGGTTAAAGACTGACGCAAATGATTCTGCAAGGCACTCAGCCATGACTGCTGGGTCACCACTAAGCTGTCCCGAGCACGTCAAAGGACCGACAGAAGGGCGCCCTACCTTTTTGCCCCTGATGTAGGAATGCAGCAGCTTGGGATTCTGCTTTGATCTGGTTACTAGTTTACGTTCATATTCCGCTTGACTACGCACAGCAAAAGAACGGTACTGACGGTTGACAGATGAGAATTCAGCGTACGCAACACGAGCACCAGCTGCAGACCTCCCAAGCTGCTGCCTGACCGTCTTGTACCTTTGCTATGCGGCGTGGCGGAGGCGGATCAGGCTGGATGGCGGTCTGGTCTGGAAGGGAAGAGACCTTTCACGAACTTTTTTAAGAGGCACAAAGCTACTCGCAAGGTTGTTCAAAATGCCAGTCATATGCAGGACACATTCGGTTGCACTCTTGTCACCAAACTCCTGGTCCCAGTTGAAGGCAGCCAGCTGTTGCCTGATTGATGCATAATTGCCCTTGTGCCAAGCTCTGCGCGGGGCACAAAGTGGATTTGTGTCATCATCATTACATGAGACAGTTTGAAAGACATAATCAAAAATCACAGGACAATGGTCAAACCCAGGAAGAGGAGCCAAGACATCGATACTTCCTATCCTGTCCTGTTCTGAAGTCAACACCAAGTCAAGAATGTTCCCCGATCTAGGAAACGTTGCTTCGGTTACCCACTGAGTCAACCCCAATGAGTTAAATGTGTCCACGAACATAGATTCAAGTGGAGGAGCATCTATACCAACATCAGTCCAGTTGATTGCAGGCAGATTAAAATCTCCGACCAAGATCACTTCCTTGTCGAGGCAGAACTCATTAAGAAATTGAGAGAGCAAGTTGTTGGTGACGGCATTGTTGGAAGGGGGACGGTACACCACGACAACAAAAACGTTGAAAGACACCAGCCTAAAAGTTAGAACATTGGGTACAGGTTGAGTGACACTATCCACAAGAACACTGCTGTCCACATATGCACAAACCCCATGCTTCTGAACCAATCCACCAGTGTCATGGCGGATCAAGGAGTATCCTGGGATTTCAATGAAGGAATTGGGGAGTGATGGCACTAGGTGTGACTCAGTGATGCATGCTATCTTGATATGTTCTTTCACAAGAAAATCAGCTAGACAATTCAATTTGCTGCGCAAACCATTCACATTAACATTAACAGTTCGAAAGACAGTAAAAAGTGGTCCAGGAGACGAACGTACTAGTTTCCCG